TCATTCAGCTTTGTAAATTATCTCATACTCCAGTTAAAGATTTGTTCACATATGTCTACAACTTAATATATGTATACATCGTTTCGTTTCTAGATTGTATATAATTCCATCAAGGTTTTAGATAATATCTATTTTTAATATCCATGTGGACGCCATCATTTTCGTTTCAGAAGAAAAATTCGTTTGTTCATTGATAGAAAACATGTCTAGCGTACAGAATGAATTAAGTACGTTAACGAAGCTGCACTTCAGCAGTAAAAAAAATGATACAATACTGAGCTGTTCAATATTTTACATTGTCTATTTTATTCTCATTTCTGGTAGACTTTTCTTGAAAATACAGAGACAATATGCATCATAGCGCTTCTGTACAAGATTATTCAATAGAATCCATAATATGAACATGTGTATTGAAAAAAAAACCACTCCCAGAACATATCGGTGTTCACTACTTAAGTTTGTACAATTACATTTTATACAAACTCATTTCACTCTTTTTTTGTAGAAAATTGAATGAGGAATTTTTTTTGACAGAAAGACAAAATCTGAATGATAAAAACTTCATGAAATATTTACAAAATATTGTTCATTTCTGCATAAATCCTTTCTGTCTTATGTGTTTTTATACAGTATTACTGGACAAGAGTTGAACAACTTGCTCATCAAAATGAAAATATTCGAACAACATTTGGTAAACTCTCGGAAACAATAAATGCCAGTGTCAGTATTTTTTTCTCGTATTTCTTGTCGCTCATCTTGTTTCTATTCAGTTTGATTTTACTAATTATATTCGTCGTGCATATCTTTTGGGCAATGTAATTCTCAGTGATACAGATGTGGTGATCTTGAATAATATTCAATATCTGCGTAACGTTTCGTCAATCATCAATCACTACTCGTCACGAACTATTCAAAACTATGTGGTGTGGCGTTTTCCAATGACTATGGTAGATGATATGCCAAAACGATTTGTAGTATTTAGAACACAATTTGATCAAGTACTTCAAGATATTACTGGTAGTATATCACGAAAATTGAAATGCGTTACTATTGTCACTAGTGTCATGGGTTTTGCTGCTTCGAAACTCTATATACAGAAATATTTTGATGAAAATGCTCGCAATCAAATATGTACAATTATTGATGGTATATTTATTTTTCTTTTTTTTTGATTTTCTTCAAGTCGATGGAAATGGTTGAAAATACTTAGGGTATACCAAAAGTTCTGATCACAGTTTTTAAAATTTAATAAAGCAATAAATATTGAATATTTTACTAAGGCGATATATAGTATAACGTCTCGTCTTTAATAATATATAGAGCAACTCTCTCTTAGACTTAGTTCTAACATCCTTTCAGACTAAATCTATAATTTTACAGACAATGCAAATATTATTAATTCTTGTTCAATGGTCAGGTACATTCTGGAACTTTCTATTGGTCACTCTCTCGTCACTTTTTATGACGTCATGTTCTAGAATATTACATTTCGATAGTATATATAAATGAGAGGTCGTTCGCTGTTAGTTCATTTGTACCGTACTCGACTTAAAATCGTAATAGAATTTGATTTCAATCTTAAAAGAAGACATTAAACATGACTGATGAATTCAATCGATATTATATCAAAATTCGAGCTATTTTGGGAATAGATTCAAAAACAATCTTTGACGAACTTACAGAGGCATTGGGACCTGATGCTCCATCATATCCAACAGTCAGAAGATGGGCGAAACGTTTTCGTGAAGGAAGAGACGATGTCACTGATGATCTTCGATCTGGTCGTCCGATTTCGGTACTTACAGATGAAAATGTTGAACGCGTTCGACAATTTATCGAAGATGATCCACACTCAACTTATGATGATATTATGGGTGAGACTGATCTATCACGTGGTACAATAGAACGAATTATTCATGATCGTCTAAAGATGAGAAAAGTTACATCACGTTGGGTTGCTCATCAACTTACTGACGAACAAAAACAAAAACGACTTAGAATTTGTCGTCAAAATTTAGAGAAATTTAGAAATGGAACATGGCATTTATGTGATGTTATTACTGGTGATGAGACATGGATTTATCACAGGCAGATTGGTCGAAAGTCAAGCAATGCTACTTGGGTTGGCGAAAATGAACTACCAAGAACCATTGTTCGTCGGAATAGATTTGAACCTAGAACACTATTTTGCTTCTTCTTCAAATCCACTGGTTCTCTTCTCATACACAAAGTAGATAAGGGCAAGACAATCGATCATGACTACTATATTGATAATTGTCTTATACCTGTTATCAATGAAATAAGAAAAAAGGAAAAGTCATCACGTACTACATATAAAATGCTTCATGATAATGGTCCTCCTCATACTCATCCAGATGTTATTGATTATTTAATGGAGGAAGGAATCGAAATCATTCCACATCCACCA